CTTTGACTGGTTAATCTTTATCAATTCACATAGAGGCTTTACCAATCGTCCATAATTATAAATCTAAAGGCGACACCAACCTGTCATTCCTAAAAAGGTTTGTAGCTCCTTTACCATTTGAGGTTCTGGAGTCCGGCAAATGACTTCCTTATGTTCAGTTCCTAGTTCTCGTTGTCCTCCCGAAATTTCAAATCCCAGATAGGTCACACTTTGTTGAGCCAGCTGGACTTTCTGTCAAGAGACTTGATATCCATTTTAAACCCAGAAAATTAAGAAAACTTATAGTCCATTGAATACAGCTCCCTTTAGTCTCGGTAGCTATTAAGAGATCATCTACATATTGTAACAAAGCACCTTCAGTGTCTGGAGGCATCCATGTTTCGAGTTCCCTTGCTAATTGGTTTCCAAAAATAGTGGGGCTATTCTTGAATCCTTGAGGTAGCACTGTCCACGTAAGCTGCGTCTTTCTGCCTGAATTGGGATTTTCCCATTCAAAGGCAAATAGGTTTTGGCTTTCAGTGGCTAAAGGTAGGCAGAAGAAGGCATCTTTTAAATCCAGTACGGTAAACCAGACTTGACTATTCTTTAATTTAGTCGGCAAAGTATAAGGGTTTGCCACTACTGGATGTATATCCTCAGTGATTTTACTTATGGCCCTCAAATCCTGAACTAACCTATAGCTTTTTCATCTGCCTTTTTAATTGGCAATATGGGTGTATTGTATTCTGATTCACATTCAATCAATAATCCATACTGTAAAAATTTATCAATTATCTCTTTAATTCCTTTCCTCAAAGGATATTACTTAACCTTAACGGGTTTCTCTCCTGGCTTTAATTTAATAATTATTAAGGTCACATTTTTAGCTCTTCCAGGGACTTCGGTAGCCCAAACTCCTGGACATATTGATCTGTGATCTCTAAAGGTATTTCACTTTTAGGGTCAGTTTGTATTAGTGCCAAGCTTAACACATTTATTAGTTGTTCTTCTCCTATTCTTAATTTCATTTTCCCTTTTTCAACGACAATTTCTGCTCCTAATTGCTCTAATAAATCTCTACCTAAGGGTGCCCATGAGGAGTTAGGCGTATATAAAAATCTGTGTATGCCCCATTGTTTCCCTAACTTGTACTTCAAAGGTTCACAAAAATAAGCCTTTTCGGTTACACCTTGTCCTGGTTTCAGTTAGAATAGAGTTAATTTTCTTCCTAGTAGCTGGTAGAATGCTATGTTTTGGCTTAGGATGAGAAGAGTGTTGATAACACCCTGATGTTTTAATTGTTGCAGAGCAGTGCTTATACCAAGCCAAGGACATCTCAGTTTCTTGCTCTGTCCTGCCAACGGGCAGGCTGGGGGTGCAGTAAGAGCTGGGAGGGGACAGACCCAGGACAGGTGACCCAAACTAGCCAAAGGGGTATTCCATACCATCTGACGTCATGCTAAACAATACATAGGGGTGGCTAGCCGGGGGAGGGGGCCGGACTGCTCGGGGTTAGGCTGGGCATTGGTCAGCGGGTGGTGAGCAATTGCATTGTGCATCACTCGTTTGTACACATTATTAGTAGTGGTACTATTATCATCATTGTATTATTACTATTATTATTATTATTATTATTATTTTGTCTTATTAAACTGTCTTTATCTCAACTCACGGGCTTCACTTTCCATTTCTCTCCCCCGTCTCAGAGAGGGAGGGGGAGGGTGAGCAAACGGCTGCGTGGTGTTTAGCTGCCAGCCGGGTTAAACCACAACACACCTTTTACCCTAACATAATAATTCTGTGAAGGCATTAATGCTTGATTTAGAACTGAATACGTTGCCCCATATCAATAAGAAATTTCACTTCCATTCCTCCCCTAGCTTCATCATAATCAGTGGAGGATCCGCTAAGGTAGATTCCCCAGGTCCCCGTTATTCCTGTTGAAATCAGGGACCAATGATTACCCTAGAAAAAGGCTAGTCAATTTGTCCTCCGAAGCCAGGTCCAAACCGTTTTGTTTTATTTAATTATTTATTTTCATTACATTTCAGAGTTGGTCCAAAAATTCCACAGGGGTTTCTTTTAGACCTTGTTGGAAGCATATTCTCAATTCCCAATTCATCCAGATTTTAGTATTTCCTTAGCCGTTCCTAATTTTAGGGATGATTAGGGTCTCAGTGGGGTCGGTCAGGGGAATGCAGTTGTCCACAGTTCCCTGAGCGGTCCCATCGGTAATCTGAGCTCGCACATGAACTCAGGTTGTTTTAAGAGTTAACTGTTTTTCTGTTTCCATAACAACTCTCTCTCGGACCCATCATGATCCATTTGCCCCAAAGGGCTAACACCCATGATTTTAAGATCTCTGCCTAGAGCAGAGGCAGAACTATTAACATTCCTACATCCTCTTTCCCTGCTCATTCAACTTCAAACACCTTTAACACTTTCAACAACCCTTTTAACACTTCCTTTATCTTTCTCCAGCCTGTACTTCTCTAATGCCAACATCAAAGGCTCAGTCAGGGGCCAACTTAATTCCGTACCTTTTCCCACCAAGATGCTGAAACAACATCAGTATACAACATTTCATCCTATTCTCCTTCTCAAAACCAACATTAACTGTAGCAAAACATTAGAGTTTAAAGTTCCATTTAGGGGCCACTTTTCTCCACATTCCAGCTTATAAAGCGGCCACCATTGATTACAATATTTTATCAATGTTTTCCTGTTCACACTTACAATATTTTATCAATGTTTTCCTGTTCACACTTCCACCGGCAGATCCTCCAATATCCTTCCAGTGACTCAAAACACATCCTAACGCACTTTTCTTAGGAATTTCACTGCTTACTCGCCCCCCCATTTTCCAGTTTACACTTTCAGAATACACGTGTTACTTACAAAAATGTATCACAAAAACGTATCACTCACAAAATTACAGGCACGCAATATCTTTCAGTAGCGATGTCACAAAGCTACTATTACCAGCAATATTGCTAAAATCACAATAACAATAGTCAGAGTCAAATTCCACATGCGATAAGTCAGAAAACCAAACTGTGTAACACCATAACGATATCTTTCTTATAACAATGCCACGAACCTACTATTACCACCAGAAAAATAGCCAAAATCACAGTAACAATAACCAGAGTTAAATACCATACTCCATGAGTCAGAAAACCAAAATAGACAACACAATTCCAGATGGACCTTAAAGCGAGCTCTTTCCTTAAGGTCCCCAAATATACTTATGGTGCTTACTACAAAGTATATACCAAACACTGCCTCGCAGAAGATCACCTTCCGACTTACAGACAGTTCCAGATACAGATGGACCTCAAGGTCCCCAGATATACTTGTGGTACTAACCACGAAGTATATACCAAATACTGTCCTGCAGAAGATCACCTTCCGACTTACTGGACAGTCCCAGATGACCGGTCTACCAGAAAACCAAACCAGAATAAAGAATATACTCACTTACAATGATGGGGTCCTTGTCTGCCTCCGCAGTGATCCGGTGAGTCGAGGAGTCCCTCCGGGAAATCCCGGGGGTACCCTAGGGAGTCCTGTCCCCAGCGGGTCCTGCGGACCGGCAGAGAGGTAGTCCCATCTGGGGTGCCAGATTGATTCAAAGATTGAAGCCGAAATTCCTTTAAGTGGTATATTCTTTATTGCAGCGCTGGATGCACGGGGGATCTCTCCACCTATCGTGCATACCCAGAGCGGAAAGCAGTCTTGAATTTATATAATCAATCTATCAATATTCTACAAGCACCTATACATATTCATTACCTATCCCCGCCTTCCCTCGCTTCTCATGCTAATTAGCCTTTTGGCACCTTGCGCCTGCATAGAGCCTTCCAAGAATTGTGGGCAGGGGTCTTTGGGACGTGGGCAGGGGTCTCTGGGAGGAAGACCCCGAGTCTTCCTCACAGTGTACTTTTCACCTTTGGTCAGGAATCTGCTGAATTGGCACGTTTCTTAATTGCCAGAGCTGGTTGTTGCCAATTCTTCCGTTTGTTGTATCTTTATAATGAATTCCAATGTCCAGTTTTGAGATTTATAGTCCTTACGTTTGTTTCTCTGTCCGTTTGCCGCTTCCTTATCATGAGTTCCAGTGTCTTGTTTTGAGATATACAGTCCATGTCTGGGGATTGTCCTTGCCTCCCCAATACCTCCTTAATCACTGTAAAAGGAAAAATAATACCTCACAGGCTTGTGAGGCTTACCTGCTTAATGTATGCGCAGCTCTTTAGCATTTTCCTCCCATCCCCTCATAGATGTGCTAATCGTCGCATTACTACTATGCCAGGATAATGACTTTAATGTGGTGACTTACAGAAGAAGGCCTCTCAGCAGGGTGATTTTCATCTGAAGGCTCCCGCACCAGGTGCTGCTGGGGGGTTTGAGTTTTTGACTGCGTGGCTCAGGGGCCAGATCTTGCAGTAATCTCTTGGCTTCCTGCCCTATCACAACCATATTGTGATACCTTCTCAAGCAAGGAATCTGAAAAAGGCGCTGAAACAACATGAAAGTGAACACAGGACCTTGAAGTTCACTGTTTAAGCCTGAATTTTGAATCTAAAGATTTTTTTATTTTTTTTCTTTAAATGATGTGGTAGGTTAAAATAGCCTTTGTTTATTTGGCTTTTATCATATCCTACTTACTTAGCACAATTAATGACTGACCAATAAAATGAGACGTTTAGAGTCCAACATCAGGTTTAAGATGCTTGTTTCTCACATGTGGTTTATGCCTTTATGAACACTCCAACACACTAAGGATGCTGATGGCAGAAAATCTGTATTTAGCCTGTATGCTGCCCACAATCAAGTGCTTGCAATTGTGGTTTTATAAACACTTGAAATAAGTGATTCATAAGACAATAATAGGATGGGCTTCTCCCAAATGCATTTTGGAGGCCAGCCTAAGTAGCAGCTTATTGTAGAAAAGCACTACCCGCTTCATTACGGAGGCGGTCGATTTAAGCAACTATACAATGAAATAGACACTATTATTTAAAATAGAAATGCATTTTGCTTTTATTGTACAAATTACTAGGAAAAAGCAGTCCTCTGCTTATTCAGTTTCTCTTATTAGATCCATAACATGGTCTACAGAAACAAAAAAAAGCTTGCCCAGTGTACCAATAGTAGTGGAATAGTAGTAATTGTAGTAGCAAAATGAAATACATAGTAAAATATAGTAAATGAAGTAGTAAAGAAATTCAATACATGAAGTAAAATGTAGTAAATGAAATAGTAAAATGGAAGTGTAGTAGTAAAATAAAGACATTTGGAATTTAAGGTATCACCTTTCTGACGACTTTACCTATACAAAATTAGTTTAGTACAATGTTCAAACCTTTGACTCATTTCTGCCAAGGATATTCTATTCTACTTCTCAAACTAGAAGCCATTTATCAGCAAGTATCATACTTTTATTTCCCCTCGTTGGTATTTTACAATAGGTACGAACAACAACAGCCCCCCCCCAAATGGAAAAAAAAAAACAAAAACACAACAAAAAGATGTTGTTATGCATCAAGCTTCTACTAATATTTGCCAGCTACCTCATCACTGGACAACTGCATCTGAGTATTTTTGAACTGCATTTAGCGGTAATCAGAGGAGTGCTATTCGTACAACATTGTGTGTGACAGTTAAAACTGCACTTCATAGATTTTTGTATTTTCCATTTTCATGGATTTTTCCTTTTGTGATGTGTTTTGTTAGTTCTGAACTAATTACACGGTAATACAAAGAAACAGAACTATTTTTAAAGTATTTCCTTTTCTTTGCTGCTTCAAGTCAGGATGCTGATATGATTATGCACTTCTACACTTCTGCTGGTAGATGGTGGTGGTGGGGATTATGACTTACCCTCTCTGATCCAAAGCTGGGAACAGAATGGAAAAAAAAGTTATATTTGCTTCTAGCTTCATCACTCTGTAGGATGTTCCTTGCATTGAATGAGAAAGCTGGGAGGAAAGGAGGTAAGACAACTGCAATAACAAGCAAACATACTAACACTCGAGGTAATTTTCTAAAACAAAAAGCAGAAAACAACTGACAGCAACAGTAACAGCCCAGAGTAGCAATCAGTCTTTTTTTTATCTTCTCATTTCTAGTCTCTGGAGGGAGCATCCAAGATTAAGACTGCACACACCTCCAAAAAGAGTGCTGAAGTACGACACCCCATTGCGACTACTGGTTCTCCAGCTGATTTAGCAGAAGAATGTCCCTTTACAAACCTTCAGCACTTTTACATGTCTTTATTGAAGTCCACAAAGATGTAACTGTGATTTGGATGACTTACACCAATTCCTTTTTTTGCAACATAGCTAGCATGGTAATCAGATGAAAAACAGATACTAATATTTTGCTGCAGAACTACAAACAACTCTTTAAATGGAGAAAACCTTAAGAGAGAATCACTCACCACAAAGCTGCTGTAGTGAAAGCTCATCAGATCAAGAAGAAACATGCTGATACTCCTTCTAAGGTGCCTGCATTCTTGTAGCTAAGGATTCCTACAATCCTTTTAGCATCCTTATAATCCTTTTTGGAATGAAACTGTTAATAGAAGTAATTATGCCTGAGGAAACAGATCTCAGGCATAAATTGATTAGCACGGTTCAGCTGGAAAATACTTTCCAGACAGTATGTAAAAAGGTCTTTGCTGTCCTGTGGCTGTTACAAAACAAAACAACAAAACAGGTACACCTTAGCAGAAAGTTTTTCATATGAATCTGTACTGCAAAAGATCTTTCTCAACATAGAAATCATGATACTTAATATTAAAAAGGCAAAACCCACCATCGTGATCATTTTAAATACGAGCATGCAACATAAACAATACAGTATTATTTGCTTATGTTTACGTTTGTGAACAGCAGGAAGCAGCTATGACAGCAACTGAACAGCAAGTGAAAACAAAACTAGTAATCAGTAAGTAATAGTTACAACCTTGTGGCAAAAAAGCAACTTCGAGGAGATTCTGTACAAACTGTCTATACTAGAAACAAAACCTTAATACGCTTTTACATAAGGAGATTTTATTTTTGATTCTAGACTGAAGTGTGTACTGGATGCAAATATTACTGATATGATGAGAAACCAGTAATTTTCATATGAATTCAGCTCAGTTACATATGCCGAATAGAAGCATAATGCGACCAAATTTTCCAAAAAGTATTCAAAGCACTAAAAAAAGTCACTCTTTCTTTGCCATTAACTTAGTTATAAAGAAGAAAAAAACAAACGCAAGCACTGTTATTGCTCCCATTTTTACTAATCTTTTTTCCAAGGTGGGTGCTTTTTCTGGGAATACCGCTTGACTGGGGTCATTCTTCTGTTCATGCTGAAGCAGATGTTCAGTTCATGTTGAAAGTACAACAAAGAAAAAAAGTTAGTGTGAAAAAGGTACAACAAAGAAAAAGAGTTAATGTGAAAGCTTCTGAAGTCTGTGATAAAGCATAAGCCTAGATTCTCAGGACTGAGATACTATTTGTGTGTCCGTGCCCTACTTCAACAGAAATCACTGTGTGCAAGCCTTTATCTTATCTCATGTGCAATGATTCTGTAAGCAATACACACTAGAAAACAAACTGTTTACAAACTGAATTCTTCTGGAGTAAAACATACTAGTAGACACTACAAAAATCAACACCAAAACATTTAAACTCCAATCATCAAATGTTTTAACCAGGACTTCTGCTATTTAATAACTAGAAAAACTGTTTATTAAAACAACAGTTAAACACGTATCTGATTAATTTCAAGGAGTCTTTGAAAGCTCTAAGGGAGAGTGGAAAGTACCATACAAGTGCCTGCTCTAATGCCCACTGAAGTTGAGTGCAGCCTTGTCATGAAGTGAAACACTGGTTAATCCCTGCTTCCCTCCCTTTGTATGTAACACTTGGCAGGCTACCTCATTTACTACTAGACTTTCAAAAATTGAATGCCATATACTTCACGCATACTGAAAGCCAAAATCTTGTGATGCCGAAGCTTAGGAAATACCACTGTGCAGATTTTAAGGGAATTTGTACTAACTTAGTGTCTAAAGGGTTTCTCTGGTTCATTTACATTGACACTTTTCATAATAAAATGTTTCAGTGCTCTAGAAAGCTGAAAATTTAATATTAGAATGCTTCCTATTAGTCTTCCTCAGTCACGTTCATAACACACTACGGTATTTTAGTAGAACAGGAATTACTACATTTTTCAAAATAACCGGACGGCTAACGTTTAATGCCTGTTTAACAGTGGGTGTAGAGACACCCTGCTGCATCTTCACAGCTATAAAACCTCAAATTCAGATGACAGCAAGTGCAAGTAGCACCTAACTCAGGTCCTCCCGACCCCTCGCAACTGGCTTGCACACGCAGGAGGCAGATCTATACACGCAGTTGACTTCTGCATATGCAAACAAAGGAACATAGCTAAAAAGTTCTTTGTTAGGACCTCTTAAATGTATTTGGTGCTAAGTGATTTATTAGGAGAAAGCTGTTATATTACATTAAATTTACTTGAACTCCCGGAAATTGCATTAGTAGCATTATACTTAAGGTCCGAGTTCCACATGGCTTCATTCAGTAACAGATTCCTTTCTGACACTGATGCTCCATTTACTCTACCAGAGCAGCCATTCATTTTACTGGCCTGTTACTTAACGTGACCCCACTTGACAAGAGCGTATCATTGTGTTGGTCTGAGAAGGACTGATGTGGTGCTAACATCTAGCCTTGACCTCTCCCACCCTCTTCTTTTGTCACTCTGCAAAGTTATCTGGGATGCCTCCTATTCAATCCATAAAACTGCACTATCTTCCTTGGGAGTCAATAACTCCAAACAAAAGATTCCTTAATTAAGAAGTACTCAGAGTGGTTTATGCCACAGTGGCTGTCCACATGCACAGGAGTACTTCCCACTCAGTTCCTTACTGTGGCAGAAAGAATAAGACTGACCACTCCTTCATTTGGAGACTCCGCACACTGTTCTGTAACATCCTAGATTATGTCACGTTCTGTTATGGAGAGGTGGAAAGAAGCGTACGAGTGATCATCTTGGACTCGATGATCTTGAGGTCTCTTCCAACCTAGAGATTCTGTGTGTGAGTGGTGGATGCAGTGATCAAACTGAAGAGGCTGAGATAGACCAAGGTACAAAACATTTCACTGATGGCTGTCACGTTCAAGATACTGCAGCCAGGTTTCTGTGTGCAATGGAACGGCCTCACGCTCACCTTCTCCACGAGGTCCTTCAGTCTGGCAACTTCTTCTCCCAACCTTTCAACACTGGAAACCATGTCTCTGCAGACTTCAATGTATCTTTCAGTTGGCGCCCACTGCAGTGCTATCTGTTGAGAGTCAGTTATTTGCCAGAATTACTGCAAATTATAACTTAATGCTGTAGTGGGTTTACGTGGCAAGGCTTTGGTAGCAGGGGGCCATAGGGGTGGTTTCTGTGAGAAAGATCTAGAAGCCGCCCCATGTTTGGGAAGGGCCCCATTGTTTTCCAGATCTGAGCCAATAAGCGATGTTGTTTTGCGCCTCTGTGAGAGCATATTTAAGACAGGGAAAAAACTGCTGCGCCACACAGCAGCCGGGAGAGTCAAGGGAGTGAGAAACAGCCTTGCAGGTGCCAAGGTCAGTGTAGAAGGAGGGGGAGAGGTGCTCCAGGCGCTGGAGCAGAAGTCCCCTGCGGCCTGTGGTGAGGACCATGGTGAAGCAGGATGTCCCCCTGCAGCCCATGGAGTACCACGGTGGAGCAGGGTTTCACGCTGCAGCCCGTGGAGGAGACCACGGTGGAGCAGGTGGCCCTGCACCGATGGAGGCTGCGGCCTGTGGAAGACCCCTGCCGGAGCAGATTCCGGGCCGGACCTGTAGCCCGTGGAGAGGAGACCACGCAGGAGCAGGTGATCTGGCAGGAGCTGCTGCCCGTAGGGGAGCCAGGTTGGAGCAGTTTTCTCCTGAGGGATGGACCCCGTGCTACGGACCCATATCTGGAGCAGTTCTGGAAGAGCTGCTGCCTGTGGGAAGCCCACGCCGGATCAGTTCGTCAAGGACTGCATCCCGTGGGTGGGACCCCACAGCACAGGGGACGAGAGTGACCGAGAAGGAGCGGCAGAGAAGAAGTGCTGTAGACTGACCATAACCCGCATTCCCCCGTTCCCCTGCGCCGCTCGGGGGGAGGAGGTGGAAGAGGGTGGATGGGGGGGGGAGGTGCTTTTGGTTTCTTTCCTTTGTTTCTCACTTCTCTAGCTTGTTAGTAATGAGTAATAAATCTTACTGTCTTCTTATGCTGAGTCTGGTTTGCCCGTTACACTAATTATTGCGTGATTTTCTCGTCCTTATCTCAATCCTTGAGCCCCTTTCACATATTTTCTCCCCATTCCTCTTTGAGGAGGGGAGTGAGAGAGCGGCTGTGGTGGAGCTCGGCTGCCCACTCGAGCAGAACCACGACAAATGCTAATTAGTTGATGTAGTATAAAAGGCAGCATCAGAACAAAAATGTACCTTCTTTAATGTTATGTTTTCATTGTATGATTTATGCATGACATTGATCTACTACTCTTTCAGCCTTTGTGGGAAGCTTCTGTCACCTGAATTTCCCTATCAGGGGAAACACTGAGTAACAGCTTTACGTTCTTTAATAGGGCAGCTTAACTCTTTGAAATAAGATTTTAAAAATAATTTTACTTTAGAGAAAAAACATTGGACAGCTTTAGAAAACTAACAATGATCAAGACATTTGATTAGTATTCAAATTTTTCATTTTACGGCATAGAATAATGTTATTCCCCAAACTCTAAATCAATTATTTTTTCCCTTTAGTTGAATACCTTGTGAGAATTTTTGAGGAAATGATTATTTACGGTCTGCAGAGGAACATTCAGCTTGCTACACTCTTTATTCAGCTTCTGAAGGAACTTGAGGCATTCGTTTCCACTACCAAAACAAAACCATATTCTATTACTTGTAGAAGGGTATTTCTTTTTGCAAGCTAAAATCATCTGTGCATTTCCAGCATTGGCTAGTAAATGAATCAGACATGCAGTTTCATTATATTAAAAAAAATAAATCTATCCTGTTTAACACGTAATACTACATTTAACATCTTGGCAAGTTACACACTTTGATTGTCTGTTCCCCCGACCCGAAAGGGTAGCAAATCCTGAAGTTACCTGGAATATTCAGCTGCATACAAAACTGAAAAAGCGTCATCCGAAAGTTTTTGTGAAACAATTCTGTTGACCTCCACTTCTATTTCCTCACTCTCACCAATCCTGTTTTTAATCAACTTAAGAAATTCTGTACCGGAGTATGCCTAATAACCCCAGAACACTGCCTTCCTGTTCACGTGGGCATACAGATCAGTCTGCCAACACCAGGAGCAGAGAGTTTAGTCAACTTCATGCTGAATTATCAATATTCATTACCCAGAGATGACATTTTTGAAAAGGACTGGGGGGGTGTGGGGGGGGGAATAGTAGTATTCTCATGGAGTCATTTAGTCTCCAGCACAGTGAAAAAATGAAGAATCTGTTACTGACTTGGGACCTGGATCTGACAATACTTTCCTTCAAGACTAAAATACCTTACGTTATCTGCTTTGAAGAAAAAAGTATACTTAGTGCTCAAAAGACAGGAAGATCACTGAAAATCAGTTTGACCAGTCTCCGAAGAGTGAAGGAAAGGATATAGAAATTTAAGAGGCTAATTTCAATGCCAAGATTTTAGATCTCCCATGTGAGAGTGACTCGATTCATTTTACTTTACGTGTCAGAAGGAACCCAAAGTGTCAGTTCCAAGGCATGGTGCAAGCCAGAAAGTTGCTGCCATTGACTGGGCAAAAGAAGAGGATGGGGGGGGGGGGAGGAATAGGTAAGATCATCCAAACTTCTCAAACTTCTGAGAAGTGTCTTTGTCACCACTAGAACAGTTTCAGCTACCTGTAAGCTATTTAGGTGAGTAACATCAGGCCCAAAACAAAAGACAATATTAAGCTGGCATTTCCCTGTCGCAAGACTTCATTGCATCTGGGAGAGTGTCTAAGAAGAGGCTGCATTTAGCCCACAGATCGTTTGCATTCAGCTCTCAAGTTTTCCCTACAACACCCCTCCCAAACAAGCAATATTAAGCTGCCTACTGGCAGAACACTGCTTCCTAAAAAGAGCTGGCAGCCTGGGGCCTGATCTACTGCTGTGTCTACACGGGAGGACAGGCGAGTCTGCAGACTCAACTCTTTGGGAACCATTCTGCACCTAGGACTTGTTCCACCAAGATGATCTGTCAGGAAGGGAGAAGAAAAAGTGTGACAATAAAAGCAGAACACAGCTCTCACTCGGTGTTATCCCCAACCAGGATTATACTGCTTTATACCTGTTCTGGAATTATTTCCATTAGTTTTCATTTCGTATTTGCTTCTTTCCGCCTAGAAAGGTATCTTTTTAGCTAGCTAGGATCAGTTGCAGCACCTTCTGTCACAAAATAAGTTATCTTTCTTGAGAATCCCTCCAGAATTCCTACATTAAGTATTTCATGGACATGGAAAAGAGGGAAAAATATTTGCAAAACTTCTTTATTATACCAATATGGATCTTAAAAAAACATTTTCATGGAATTCCTATCTGTCGCAGTGACATGTTATTTCCATTTCCAAATACTTCTAAATGGAAGTAACGTTTTCAAAATATAATCGCTTTTAAAAAGAATTCATGGCTGTCAAAACACCAGTGGCTAAACAGTGCTAGACACTCTGTGAGTTTATAATCAATCAGTTCCACATTTTCTACTATGTTAGTTTTGCTATGACTTAATGACTGATCTTCCTTCTCACAGAATGACTTTGAACAAATGGCAAGTAAAATCTTTATGTAACAGCAGGTAAACATAGCCTATGATTTTAGTCTCAAGGTCAGATGCCTAGAATACGTGTCAAGACATTTTCTATAAAACCACGCAGCGCTTGCCTTAACTCAAGTGCTGCCATATTTTTTGTCTTTAATCGAACAATTATTTTCTGTTTTTGAGAACAATGTATGTTCTAAATGCATACTGTACAAATAAGTCTTTTTGATGATGTCGTGGTTTAACCCGGCCGGCAGCTAAACACCACGCAGCCGTTCGCTCACCCTCCCCCCTCCCTCTCTGGGACGGGGGAGAGAAATGGAGAGTGAAGCCCGTGAGTTGAGATAAAGACAGTTTAATAAGACAGGAAAATAATAATAACAAAAATAATAATAACAATAATAATAATAATGATACAATGGTGATAATACGAAAGTAATAGTATGTACAAACAAGTGATGCACAATGCAATTGCTCACCACCCGCTGACCGATGCCCAGCCTAACCCCGAGCAGTCCGGCCCCCTCCCCCCAGCTAGCCACCCCTATATATTGTTTAGCATGACGTCAGATGGTATGGAATACCCCTTTGGCTAGTTTGGGTCACCTGTCCTGGGTCTGTCCCCTCCCAGCTCTTACTGCACCCCCAGCCTGCCCGTTGGCAGGACAGAGCAAAAGGCTGAGATGTCCTTGGCTTAGTATAAGCACTGCTCTGCAACAATTAAAGCATCGGGGTGTTATCAGCACTCTTCTCATCCTAAGCCAAAACACAGCATTCCACCAGCTACTAGGAAGAAAATTAATTCTGTTCTAACTGAAACCAGGACATCTATCCACCCCTTATTCCATACCATTTATGTCATGCTCAGGTTACACTATTTTCCATACATTCTAATTAGTCACCTATAGTAATCATGGTAGTGATAACATACAGTATAATATACTATTTAACATGGTACAATTCAGTTCATGGGCTATTCTCACCCAGTATTAAATCTCCTTGAGGTACACACCGGACCTCTCCGTTCTTTTGCATCACCCACCAAGTGTATCCAGGTCCCTGAGCGAAAACAATTCCACGAATAGGTTTGCCTTTTCCTGAGGCAGGAGTAGCCCAGACTGTTTTACCCAGCATATTTTTTACATGCACTACAGGAACTTTATCCCCATCTACAGTACGTAACAGGTTTGATTGGGCAGGTCCTGCTCGGTTGGTAGATCCCCTAGTATTGACTAACCAGGTGGCCTTTGCCAAATGCGTATCCCAGTTTTTGAACGTCCCAGCGCCCATTGCTTTCAAGGTAGTCTTTAACAGGCCATTGTATCGTTCAACTTTCCCGGAGGCTGGTGCATGATAGGGGATGTGATACACCCATTCAATACCATGTTCTTTGGCCCAAGTGTCTATAAGGTTGTTTCGGAAGTGAGTCCCATTGTCTGATTCTATTCTTTCTGGGGTGCCATGTCGCCATAGGACTTGCTTTTCAAGGCCCAGGATGGTGTTCCGG